AGGTCCTCATTTTTCCCCTCCCTCCCCGCTCCCCCCTCCCGCATGAGCCCTTGATAGTTTATAAATGGGTATTTTGTCATATCTTGCCCTGACTTACTGATTTTTAAGGCCCCTGGGAGGTATAAATAGTTTGTCCCTAATTACTAACCTAAAGGTTCAGAGTTCCAAACTTCCCCCAACCCCACCCCAGTAGTACCACAGAAGAAAGCCCTGGAGATCTGTTTCTGTAAAGATCACACCCACGCAAACCCCATGGAACAGTTCTCCGTAACACTATGTGGAATTGCACTAGTCAGAGTTGACCCAACTGCAAGAGGTTTGTTTTTGTTTTTTACTGACTTACAGAAGTTCTGAATCTATTATGGGCACAAACTACCTAGGAGGTATAACTATCTTTCTGAAGTAGTGAATGGTCAAGCGTGATGTTTGGTTGCTGTCAGTCTTGAGCCATCAGGTAGAGAAAGGTCAGGCCTGGGGAGGCGTTGGGCACTCTGTCCTTTATATGTCCTTTCATTTCTTTGTACCTAAAGGAATCCCAGGTCATTTGTGACTCTTCAGACATTTTCAACAGATAACTTTAAAAAAAATCATTTTGTTGTGGGCTCTTACAGCTCTTAGAACAATACATACATCAATTGTATCAGTAACTTTTGTGAATAGATTGCTATCATCATCTTCAAACATTTTCTTTGTACTTGAACCCTTGGTATCAGCCCCTCTCCCCCCCACCCTCCTGCCCTTGTGAACCCTTAATAAATTATAAATTATTGTTATTTTCATACCTTATACCATCCGCTCTCTCTCTTCACCCATGTTTCTGTTGTTTGTCCCTCCTGGGGTGGGGGAACTTTTTTTCTAAAATGGAAAATGTACCTCAATAGACACATACTTTTTTCATCCCTTGATGGAGAAAATTCTGAGGGGAAGTGTATTAAGAGGAATTTGGAGTTTGAATATTGCGTTATCCAAGGGGTCCCAGTCTTACCTGTGCACTTGAAAACAACAGGGGTTCAGTGTATTGCAGTGCCAGCACAGCTGCTCAAGTGAATACACTAGTTTGGGTTGCTTCTTTTTCTCGCCAATGCACCACTTGTTATGAAGATGCTGTCTGTAGGAATACTATGTTATAGATTGGCAGAACATGTATAAAGCTCACCGTGTACACGGTGTACATTCCTCTGCTGCAAGGTTTACTGGTTTCTTGATGCCATTTGAGAGAGTAGCACACATGTAACTGGAAAAAGTTTCTTTTATGATGTTATGAACCTTGCTGAACTCTCCTAACTCCAAAGAAACTGTAATGTTAAGCGTCAGTGTTAAATCATAAATAAGCAAAAATACATAGTTCAGTGAATTTTCATGACAACAGCACCTACGAGAGCGGGGGGGGATCAGGAATTTTTCCACGAACTTTTCTGATGCACCCTATATCATGCAACAAGGAGAATCTTGCCAGCACTTCCATTTTTCTTTCTTGTGCCCCTTCCTAATCGCTACTTTTTCTTTTCCATCCCCAAAGGTAAGTACTAGAGTAGCTTTTATTATAAGCTTGTTTGACTCTATAAGCTTGTTACAGTTTGGTTTTGCTTGGTTCTTTAATATTTCTCAATGGACGTGTAGAGTGTATGTATCTTTGTGCCTGGTTGCTTCTGTTCACCATTGAGTTTATGCTTCATGACACAGCTCATTTATCTTCATTGTTGTGTAGCCTTTCTTTGTATGATTATACCACATTTATCCCTTCTACTCTTTTTTTATTTATTGATGATTTTATTTAGCACATTTACTAATGAGGAAGCCAATAGGATGCCACCGGCTCAAAGAGAACTTTAAAAAAATGTATATAGGCCAGTAGGCTATATTGAAATAGATGCAAAACTGATGACTATCTACAGGAGAATAATCCATTGTATCTTCCAATAGCCACAGAAGAATAATCCATTGCATCTCCACTACACATTTTTATGGGCAAAAAGATACATAATCATGTTTTATACAATTTACATTAGAGTTGTAAAAAGCTCAAATACTGTGAGTTAAAGCCAGTGTGGCACAACAAATCAGATCTTTGTTGTCCATTTCCGACTTTCACAGTTTTCTCTGGTCTACTCTTACTTATCCATAACCTTTTCCGACTTTATGACCCAATCACCTTTTAGGGAGAGTTCTGTGCCCCACTAAATTAGGCAAGTTCTTTTGTTGATTAACTTCCTTACAATTTTCTTATTTCTTCTGTCTGGTAAGATCACAGTTCCTATGTTTTCATGGACTCCAAATAGATTTGATCTCTTACTTTTTGCCCCTGACACTCCCTATACACACAACACTGGAGACACACTAGCGACACTTGGTGTAATGTAATATATTTGTTTAGTGTTCTGTGCCAGGGCATGGAGCTTGTTCTCAGAAGTTGCTAAGCAGTACATACTGGCTAGTCAGTGACATAACATTTTTTCATCAGAGCATTTTTTTCATCCACCGCAACTTTAATTAGTGATATTCTCCTTCATAAGTTCACTGTTGTTATGGTTGGTTGTTGCCCAGTTCGTTCCCACTCATAGTGACCCTGTGTCAAGCAGAATGAAACATTCCTTGGTCGTGTACCACGCTCACAACCATTGCTGTGTTGGAGCCCAGTGTTGCCACGGCTATGTCAGTCCATCCTCTTTTCCACAGACTCTCTACTTTATCAAACAGGATGTCATTTTCGAGGGACTGGTCTATGATGATAGCATGTCCAAAGTAGGTGAGATGGTCTCACCATCTTTGCTTCTAAGAAACAGTCTGGCTGTACTTCTTCTAAAATAGATTGGCTCATTCTTCTGACAGTCCTTGGTATTTTCAGTATTCTTCACCAACAGCGTAATTCAAATGCATTAGTCTTTCTGTAGTCTTCCTTACTTGTCCAACTTTCAACTGTATATCAGGCCATTGAAAATACTGTCACTTGGATCAGGTGCCCCTTAGTCCTCAAAGTGCCGTCCTTGTTCTTCGACAATTAAAGAGGTCTTGTGCAGCAGATTGGCACCGTGCGGTACATAGTTTGATTTTTGACTGCGGCTCCATGAGCATTGAAAGTGAATCCAAGCAAAATGAAATCCTTGACAACTTCACTCTTTTCTCCAGTCTGAGGAAAGGTGCTTCCAGACTCTGTGTTCCTGACATGGAGTTGGTACTCAATAAATATATATTTGTTGAATGATTTGTAAACACTCACCACTTGCTGAAGGTCTGCTACTGGCCAGCACTATGACTCAGCCCTGTACATAAACGATCTCATTTAACCCTTGCAAGAAAACGGTGGCATAGGTGATTCCATTTTCCTTGTATGAAATAGGAAATTTTACATTATTAAGTGCTAGAATTAAATCTTGTATCTTGGTTTAATTTCAGTGCTTGTCCTTTCAACCACTATACATATGTGACTCTTGCAAGCATGTAACAGATTTTTAATCATTTAAAATCTGTCTATATAACACTTAAAATGGTACAGGTCAAGACCAATTTTAAACAATTAAAAAATTAAGTTTGTCTCTCCACGTGCTGCCTCAGTTAGATCATCAAATTCAGGGTGGGTTAAATGACCATTACTGTCGTAAACTAATCTTTTGACAGATGGCACATTAGGGCTGACTACTTGGCTGTTACTGCCCATCTGTTTAACAGCACACCTGTTTCTTGTTACATTTAAGATCTGTTCTAGCCCTGCTTCTCTCCTTTTGTGTTTTTCTTCCTCGGTTATCAATCAGCTTTGCATTACCAGTTAATGTTTACTGAGAGACCTTGCCAAGGAAGTTGGCAGTATAAGCCAGCTATTTCAAGTTGGAAGTATAAGCCAAAGGCTGAATTTTATAACAGTATTCTCACTTTACAAAGGAGGAAACGGGGGCTTGCAGAGTTCATTCAGCTAGTATTGTAGGGTGAGTATTCAGAGTCAGGATTTTATTCCACATTCTATGCACAGTCCATACAGATATGTGGATTATGACTGTAGTGCATGATTGACTAACTACCTTAAGCGGTACGGAGTGAGTGCCACAGCAGTTCTGTGTTGTTGTTAGAGGCCGGTAAGTCGTTCTAACTCATAACGACTCTCTTTAACAAACACTACCAGGTTCTGCGCCATCCTCACAAGTGTTCT